AGGACCTTTGGATCACCTTCTCTTGGCCTTTTAACCACTGAATTCCAAAGGAATTTCAGTGGTGGAAAGTGTATTTTGAGGCCCCAAATGAGAGGGGGTTGTCCCCCCTCTTCTTCTCTTGTTTGCTTGTGTTGATGGCTCATCAAAAGATCATGTAGTCTATCTTCTTGAGGCTCTGTTTGGGCATTTTTTTGTGACCTTTTAGACCTGCCATGACTCTTTTTTTGGCTGTCTTGGTCACCTCTTGCAAGCTTCTTGTACTTGTAGTATAATCCTACTTGGAGCTTTGCAAAGTAGCATGTCTTTCTAGCATGTTTGGTTCTATCTTAGCATGTTTTAGGCATTATTTTAGCATGCTATATCTCTGTTTTGGGTTGGTTTGATTGCCTCTTGCATGCTTCATACCCTTGTAGTGCAATCCTCCCTATAGCCTTAACATGCATCATGCTTTGGACCACCATTTTAGCATATTTTTTGGCTCACCTCTAGCAAGTTTCTACTCATGTTTTGCTATGCTTAAACTCTATTTTAAGTGTTTTTGGTCATACATGCCTTGCTTTGTATAGCCATAATGCAATCTTGCTCACTAGCTCGGGTTTTTGAGTCCACTAACATGCATTGCTTGGGCTATTTGCATGATTTAGCATCATTGATATATGATTTCAGTGTATGAAATGTGGTCATACTCTCCCATGCTTCACTCTTTCAATCGTTTTGGAAGGTTATGCTTTGTGCCTCAATCATGAGCAATTGGCATTTTGGGCTATCTAAAGAGATGGCTCAAAACAAGGCAAAATAAGGCACAAAAAGGGGTAGACCACCCCCAACACCAAAGAGGCCACAAACAAACACTTTAAGCACTTGAAAATGAAGCTTTTTACAGTTTAAAGTTAGGCCTAAAACATCATGCAAATAGGGCCAAATAAGCAATATAAACAAAGCTTTAAAGAGGATGAAGACTCACCCTTGAAGAACCACTTCAGAGCAGCAACTTCAGAGGCAAAAACCCAGCTTTTGAGCTTCAAACAAACCTCCAAGAACCTCAGCCCAAGAGTGAAGGTGTTTCACTAGGTGTTTGTGTGCAAAAGTGTGAAGGAATGGCACTTTTGAGCACAAAATGGAACAAATATAGAGAGAGATGGAGCAATATAAAGATAAAAGGATATGTATAGCCCTCAGCCAATTTTTCTAAACCTGGAAAAGGGAGAGAGAGCCTCCCTCTTATAGAAATCCAAGCCTCAAGCTTGTTGAACAAGCTAGAGACTTGAAGCAATCCCTCCATACACGTGCATGGAGGATACCTTCTGTGCCCAACAGTTGGCACAGCTGGCAAGGAAAATATCTGCAGAAAAAGTAGGAAGGCTGCCAACCAGTTAAAGTGGTCGACCGACCACTCCCACTAGTTGACCGACCAGAAAAAATGGTCTACAGGGACAAAAACTGGTCGGCAAGGGAGAGGGAGGGTCTGTACAGAGAGTACAAGGTGGTGGCAGGCTACCAACCACCTTAGGTGGTCCAAAGACCACCCACCCTAGCTGGTCGACTACCAAAAGTGGCTGGCAGGGAAGAAAAGTGGTCTACAGGGGGAGAAACTAGTCTACATCCCTGTTCCGCCCTCCAGGCAAAGGATAACAAGGTTTAGTTCAAAAACAAACGAAAAAGGAAGCAAAACAAGAGTCCGCAAGGCGAGGCACTCAGCCGGAAGCCCCGAAAACTAGTCTACGGGTATAAAAGATGGCCTACAATAGGCAAAGGTAGTCTACGACTACAAAAAGTGGCCTACAGGCCTCTGTCTCCCTCTAGGCAAAGGCAACAAGGCATGGTCCAAAAACTAGGCCAAGAGGAGAAAGTTAAGAGGTCCCGAGACAAGGCGCTCAGCCAAAGACTCCAGAAACTCGAAACGAGCACAAACATGCACAATCACCGAGTGCACAGACGATGACATCTGAGTCTTAAGGTCGGTCAAAAATGGGGTGTCTACACTACCCTATCACCACATCCACCTTCACGTTACCGCTATGGCGACTAAAGTTCTTCGTCGCCTCATTGGTCGCCAAAGCCTTATTAGTTTAGTCTCTAATAATAATATATTTACCGACTAAAATATTTAGTTATTGAAACAATTTAGTCGCTAATAATAATATATTTACCGACTAAAAATTTTAGTCACTAATAATAATACATTTAGCGACCAAATAGTTTAGTCATTGTTAGTTTTCACGACTAAACATTTTAGTTGGAAAAAGATTAGATATTTTCATTTCATGGTCTTTTACAACCAAACATTTTAGTCACCGAAGGATGCCATGTTCTTTCGTGAATAAAATATTTAGTCGACAATAGTTTCTTCCCTCATCTTGATTTATTTTAACTACTAACTATTTGGACGCCAAAAGTCTTTTGTTTCTTTTTTACTACTAAATAAATATTTAGTCATGAAAAACATTTGCTTGCATTATTGGCTACCAAAATATTTAGTCGCGAAAAACTTTATAATATTTTTTTAATTAATTTCTCGACCACCTGTATTTATTTCATTATTAGTGCAACTTGTACCTTGTATATAAATAAAATGTTCCATATACTGATGAAATTAGCAACCATTCCACAACATGCACACATTTCATTTTCTACCATCAAAAAAATTCATATTTAACATCAAATTACAAATGCAATAGAAATTCCATATAAACCAAGTATAATCCAACATCAAAAATACAATTCCATACATAACAGAGGATTAAACAAAATTAATATCCAAAAGTTAATCAGTACCACCAAAAACTAATTTGTACCACGCTAAAAGGTAATCTGTACCATGCCAAAAAAGTAATTTGTACCACGTCAAAAAGTAATCTATACTGCATCAAAAATTATCTGTACCACGTCAAAAGCTAAATTGTACCATGCCATAAAACTAATGTGTACGAACAATACTAATTCGTAGACTAAAACAATTTCTTTCGTACTTGCCAAAAAAAGTCATATCCACGATTCCACGCTAAAAACCATCTGTACAAATAAAATTGGTCATTAGTATTGACTAAATATTGGCATATTTAAAATTATAAAAAAAAAAAAACATATAAAACTCGAATATAATTAATATTTTCAAATAAATCATTAGTTTTGCATACTCGAATTTACATAAAAGAAAAATATGTAAAACTCGAACGCATATTTTAGGCAACAAGTAATAATTACACATAATCAATAATTATTTTTGCATATTCACTATCTGAACGCTTTTTTTTTATTAAGTTTAAGGTGTTTTCGCCCCTAATTCCCAGCCTACGTGTCCTATTTACGTACCGTATGTTCCTATAGGTCATATTTGGCACGGGGAACCAACCGGTTACATCACAACATTGGTTGGGGGGCTGCTTTGCATTTCACCCCCTAGCACCTTTTTTCGCCTAAGTTTAAGATATTTTTTACTCTAACTCCCAACCTGCGTGTCCTATTTACGTACTGTTTGTTCCTACAGGTCATATTTGGCACAGGAAAGCTAACCGTTACATCACAACATTGGTTGGGGGGCAATTTTGTATTTTTGCCCCACGAATGCCTTTTTTTGATTAAATTTAAGGGATTTTCAACTCTAACTCCCAACCTACGTTTCCTATTTATGTACCGTCTATTCCTACAGGTCATATTTAGCATCACAACATTGGTTGGGGGTCTGTTTCACATTTTCACCAGCCAAAAGCCTTTTTTCGACTAAGTTTAAAGCATTTTCGACTCTAACTCCCAACCTACGTGTCATATTTACGTACTGTCTATTCCTATAAGTCATATTTGGCAAAGGGAAGCTGGCCGTTACATCACAACATTAGTTAGGGGGTTGTTTTGCATTTTCACCCCTCGAACGCCTTTTTTCGACTAAGTAAAAGGCATTTTCGACTCTGACTCCTAGCCTACATGTCCTATTTACGTATTGTTTGTCTCTACATGTCAAATTTGGTACGGGGAAGCTACCAGTCACATCACAACATTGGTTGGGGGGCTGTTTTGCATTTTTGCCCCCCGAACGCCTTTTTTTGACTAAGTTTAAGACATTTTCGACTCTAACTCCCAGCTTACATGTCCTATATACATACCATCTGTCCCTACAGGCCATATTTGGCATGGAAAAGCTTTTGGTTACATCACAACATTGGTTGGGAGGCTGTTTTGCATTTTCGCCACCCAAACGCCTTTTTTTGACTAAGTTTAAGGCATTTTCGACTCTAACTCCCAACCTACGTGTCCTATTTATGTACCGTCTGTCCATACAGATCATATTTGGCACGAGGAAGCCTCTGGTTACAGTACAACACTGGTTGGGAGGCTGTTTCGCATTTTCGCCCCCCGAACCACTTTTTTCGAATAACTTTAAGGTGTTTTCGATTCTAACTTCCAATTTGCATACCATCAGTTCTCACAAGTCATTTTTGGTACAAGGAAACTGCCCGTTACATCCCAATAGTGGTTGGGGAACTGTTTGTATTTTCGTCCTCCTAACACCCTTTTTAACTTACTTTAAGCCATTTTTAACTCTAACTCTCAGCCTAGTTGTCCCATTTACATACTGTTGTCCCCATTGAAATATTAGACAAAAGATAATATTGTTCCGATAAGAATCAATGGTATATACGGTTTAGGCTAGAGTACGTAAATAATATCAATTGACTAGTTCATTGTTAAATCTAACATATTATACAAATTATTTTAAACATCAATAAAATTGTTCTTACCAAACAGTAAACGTCAGTCGACCAACTCAAATCCCCAAGAGTTGTGTGAGTTTGGCGACTACATTATTCAGATGATCAACCCTTTTATTTATCTCCTACTGATCTTTCTGTCCATGCGCCCCTTTGTAGCAACATCTCTCGCGCTCCTCTTGCTCTTTCAACATCTCATTGTAATATTTCTCACGCTCTTCTCGCTCTCTCATCAACTCCTCATGATCTCTTTTTTGCTCCTCACGAAGTGCTTTGAGGACAAATCAAACAGGGGTAAATATATCTTGCCCAAAACTTTAAAAGTTGAGACTCAACTCTAAATAGGTTCTTTATTGTATAGACCACCCTTGAGTACTTACAACCTTGAGTGGCTTAATATAGGAAATCACTAATCACCAAATAGATCCTTACGATATAATGGAAATTGGGCCAGAACAAACTTAAGAAGTCAAAAAACAAAACAAAAAAACAACAAAACCACCTCCAACCCCAACATCTTCACTCATGATGCAGAAAACACAGGTTATACCTACTTAATAGCATTAATAGAGTTGAAAACTGAAGGGAGAAAAATAGATTGTTTGAGGCAAGATTACCCTGCAGCCATTTCAACAGCCTTTTTGACACTTGAGTCGTGTAGATTCTTCATCTCATTAGCACTCCCCTCAGCTCCAGTCTCTATTTTCTTTCCTTTTTCTAATGTTGTGGCACTTCCATCAATTTCAGAACTTGAGCTGAAAATTTGTTGCACTTGTTTTAGCTTTCCGTCATAAAAAGACTTCTATTCAGATAATTGCTTTGCTTGTCTTTAGTTAAATAACAAAACATAATGGTTGAACAAAGACTCCAATTCCTGCAAATGATAGCAATTTAGAATCTTAAGCCAGAACTATCATTCCAAATGGCATTGAATTGAAAGACATTCAACCAAGAAGATAAAGAAGGTGATCTCCAACTGTTCTGGACCTCCGTATATGTAAAAGCATCTATCAAATGTCACTCAAACAATTGATCCTCATCATCTTGTGCTTGAGCTCCCTTCTTGTCAACTTCAATACCAGTTTCTGTAATCAAAAGATCCATGGTCTCCTTGCCTACAAGCTCAAGCACTTGCATTCCCTTTGTAGTAAAAGCTTTTCCACTCTATAAAACAATGGCGCAGAAATAAGTGATGCACTATTTAAATTTTCAGAAATAAGCAATCTTCTCTACTAGAGCATCAAGATACATGAAGCTTTCCTCTATAACTGATGCACTATTTGAAATAGCAAGCACATAATCAAAACAACAATATTGTATGTATGTGCATGTATATGTATATCCATCTATGTACAGGTAAATTATATATCACAATCAAATTCTGAATGAGGAAAGCACGTGGAAAGAGTTACACACCAGATTTCAGCACCAACACCATGTTGAGGGAACCCTTCTTCAACTATCACTAGTCTACTTGTTTTCCGAACTGAAGCATTGGTTGTGGCCCTATCTACTAGCCTAATTGAGTGAAGATTTATAACCTGTTTAGACAATAAACCAACACTACCATATTTAAAACTGATACTTGAATTGATTTTAGGTCTTACACCAACACTACCATATTCATTTAATGTATTTTATACCTCAGCACTGATCCCTTCCTTCGCAAGAATCTCAGCTACCTGAACATCACACAACATAGTTACATTTAAAACGAGGGCAAAAAATTGACTAACTGTAACCAAAGGCAATATGAACGAGAATTTGAAAGATATGCAATGTCAACAAACAACAGAGATCACTAATGTTCTCATCGAAGATGAATACAAAAGTGTTTACTGAGCAACTACAGCAACATTATATGAGAATGCTTAGCTACAGTTCAAAGCAATTTCATCCACAAAGCTAAAAGCAATGTCACAATATCATAGAGACTAATTCAAGCCTCAAAACTCTGTATTCCGTGAGGTAGTGACAGTCAAAACCGCTATACCTTGTAGAATGTAGGCTAATTACTAGTTAGCATACTATACCAAATACAGAGATGCTCCTGAAATTTTTCAAGTTCAAACTATAGCTTCATTTTCTCAACTTAAGATCACTTCTTGTGCAAAAGCATTGTCCTCCCATGGAACAAGCAGCGTTAGGTCATATATCTAAATGACAAAGATCACATCTCAAAAGGTATATAAAGTTTCATAGACAAACCTTAATGGCATAGCCCACCATCCATGAAAAAGTGGTAATCGTGACATCCTTTCCTTCTCTCTCAACCTAGGAGACAGAAGGTAATAAATTTTAAATAAAAACAATAGTGAATCATGATAAAATAAATAACAACACAAGACAGCAGAAGCTGCCACAAAAACTATCATAATCTTAAGGAAAAATACCTTAGCTTTCCCTATTAGGAGGCAAAAACTAGAATCAAGAACTTCTGCCGAAATAAGGAAAGACTCACCCCATATCTGAAGCGCAAAAATCACATTGGATAATAATAATGATCTATATGGATAAGGTTGATATGTTACAACTTAATATTGCATTGAGTACTCACAACAACTCATTTTCTAGAAAAACAACAGGATCAGGGTAACAGTCCACGAGCATCTTCAGATGAGTATGGGGCCAGTACTTTCAAACCAGGGCAAGCGCCATACCATGCTACGAAACACTACATGACATTCCATAAATGTCATCAATGGTTATGTGTGTCACTGATTTATAATTTTATCATTGAAAGCATATTTGAGGTTAGTAATGAAGAAACTCAACAAGTTCACAACAAGAAACAATACTGTGTAAATCAAATATTAGACTTGGAGGTACTCAAACCTTAAACCTAATAAATACCTAGTGAAAATGAAGAAGGAAAAAAAAATCTGACATTCTCCTTATTGACAACTGGTAGGTTGAAACTTATTGATACAACTGTTTGCAACCGTCCAAATTGGACACTAATTTAATACTCTTCAATTATCATCTATACACAGTGCTTTAGAGATATGTAGTTACTATATATCTCTCATATTACCTTAAGGCTGAAGACAATGATGCTTAATAACGTGTCATTTGTTTAGAAAACAACCAAGGGAGTAAAGAACCGTCACTTGCAAAAGAAGCTTGAGGAACCATACCTGGGAGTGTTGGGCACCTACACCAACAGCAGCACCATTTGGTCCTCTAAAAACAATAGGTACATTTATCTGGCTAGCAGACATGTAATTTGATTTTGTAGCAGAATTAATGATGTGGTCAATTGCCTGCAACAAAATGAAGATTGAGATCCCTTGGAGACATTAACTGCAAAAGAAAGGCGCCCAACAAATTATAAAGAGAAACTCATATGCAACAAGAGCTGAGATACAAGATTTTAAATTAATTAGCTATTAGTTAAGCTCCAAAGTAAGTTTGACCATCACAACCAAGTAAAACAAATATAAATAGAATATCAGAAATTTTCTCTTTGCAAAGTATTGGGGATGACAAAAATATAAAACAACTCTAACCTACATTGAAAAATTAAACGTCATAAGCTCCACAACAGACCTAAGACCATAATAAGCAGCACCTACTCTGATGCCTGCAAAACAAGCATTTATACATGAGATAGAACAATTATGGAAAAACAAAAAGCATAGGTATATACACACACAAAAGTCAATCATCATTGTAGAAATTCAAGAATTCAAATCAACAAGTTTACCTAAGAAAAGAGAATGAAAATAATTTGATAAATTAAGCATGGAAATTAACAAAAGGAGAAAGCCATAACAAGTCTAATAATAGGTCCCACCTCTGTGATTGGATTATCAATAACCTTGTCAGGTCCATACATCTCCAAGAGCCTTTTGAAAAAGGTAGTTAAATTGACGGTTATATGACCACGGACATCTATATTCTTAATAGAGAGAGAGAGAGAGAGAGAGAGATGGGGGGTCTAACCTTGTATACACCTTGGTACTCCTCAACCTGCAATAAGAAAAGGGTACATAAAGAAATAACAAAGTGAAATCTTATTAAAAATTCACAAAATTTGAGATGCTACTAAAATAGCATACTTTTTGTCTTTTTATATTTTTTGGGTCACATCACATCTCTACTTTTTCTGCACATCTTTTCATAAAAAGTCAAAAAGTTACTAAAATAGCATATTCCCAAACAATTCCCAATCACAATTCCCAATCAGAGGTAGAACTAGTGGCCCATTTTAATTTTTAACTCAGAAAAAGAATGAGATAGAAATCTGAGGACAGGCAAAAAAAAAAGTAAAGCCTAAATCAATACACAGTCCATCCTCCCATAATCATGGATTGATGAGACCAACACAAGTTTAGGGAGAGAGAATTTAAAGGACAAATGACCTCTGTAAACAAATATGGAGGGTATGAATAAGGAAATTATGCACCTTTGAAATCCAAGAAAAGACAAACCCAAGATACAATTTATTTAAATTTTCATATTTGTGACATGCTTGGCCTAGGATTGTATCTTCACTAGCCTTCTCCAATTTATCCAAAGCAGCCTTACGCCGTTTATCATTCTCATCTTCACTTTCTCCTTAAATTGCAGATCCTTCCATATCATCCTCCTTCGAAGATTCTGAGTCCTCCTCAACCACATTCTGCATATCCATAATGCTTTTTGCTGCAGTCTTAGCAGCCTCAATAGCGTGCAGCATGAAACCATAACTTAACCAGGTTGCAAATAATCTACCAAGGACATCATACAACATAGCATTGAATGTTAGGAAAATAACACATGGACATTCGAGAACTATGTTTATGTATTGTCTCCCTCATTTTAGATTGAAAAGCATAATTGTCTATTTTGTAAAAACCAATAAATGAAAAATGTAAAAACCAGCAAATGAAAAATGAAAAAAACAAAATCATCTCAAGTATTCATAAGATACTCATAAAGCCTAATACACATGATTTTAATTCTGAACTTGTTTTCATTGTGACATGCATTGTGACCAGTCTTAGCATACAACAAACAATTCCTAAAATTCTTGAGGATGGATACTTCTCGCACGATTATGAGGCGGATCTTGAGCAGAGTGCCAAGCGTGAGGAAGCATGTTAAGGCAAAGGGCTTGGACAATGTGTTCTATGAATCAGTAGAGCGAGCACTACAAAAAGATGAGAATTTCAAGAGAAAGGTAACTGTCATTCAAGACTTCCGTGAAATGACAAGTAAGGTTCTCCATTTCTACAAAGGAAATTTTCTTGATGAATTGCTTGGGCTTGTTGACTTTACTGTATTTCTTCACCTCAGCCCTAGACAGAAGCGTGAAGTTGAAGAACTAAAGAACTCAGTTAGGAAGTTCAAAATCAACTCGGATTGGAGTGTGTGCCAGAAGTTTTGTTTTTCTTGTGAGACTTTAGGGTTTTTTGAGCAAAATGGATGGAAGTAGTTCCCACATGAAAACAGATTTCTCCTTGAAACATATTGTCTTCTTTTTCATTTTTAAATCTTATTATGTGAATGGTGAACCTTATAAATTTGAAACTAAGGTTTCTTCTCCTCTGAAATTAAGGCATCAAGAGGTTAAGTATTTGTAACATCCGAATAGAGGTTTATAGAAAGAAAAAAAATTTGGCATTTCAAGTATTTTGTTCTCAACAAAAACCACAACAACACACACACAGGATTTACAACGTGAGCTGATCAACAAATCAGGAAAAATACACTGGTTCATAAAATTAATAAAAAATAAAAACAACTGAAATTAAGGCATTAAGAGGTTAAGTATTTGTAACATCCAAATAGAGGTTTACAAGAAGAAGAAAAAATTCAACATTTTAATTATTTTGTTCTCAACAAAAACCACAACACCACACACACAGGAGTTACAGCGTGAAATGATTAACAAATCAGGAAAAAGCCATAGAATCGAAGAGGGAAATGTAGACTATCCAAAGTCTATTAAAAATCAGTTTCAGATCAATCCATAGTCATTCTTTGGTTATGTTTTTTTGTCCCCCCCCCCCCTAAGAGGGCTGTGACCCAAGAACAGTAACTAAGGTATGTGCGCAAAGAAGAAGGAAAAGAAGAAGAAGTAGTAGTAGAAGAAGAGTGAGAAAGAGATGCTTCATCCTCACAGGGGTTTAGGCCAATCACACAAACACAATCTCAAATTCTTGTAATACCAACTATTTATTGAGTGATTGAGATTACACATATTTGAAGGCTAAAGACTCTCCTATTTCTATAGCGATTATGAGTCAAATTTAGAAACTAAGAATATTTATAACTGCAAATATTCTAGACTAATTATGATTATGACTTCCAATTCTATTTCAACTGTGATAGAAAACTTTGATGACTTTTAATTCTACTCCAACCATGACACAAATTCAAAATAGAAAACTTTGACATTTTTTTACCACCAAGACTATTTTAGACATAATAAAACCCATATATAATAACTCATTTAATAACGTACCCCAAAATAAAAACCCATAGGCGAACCCTACAACTCATGTCCAACAAATATTGAAATTACCATAATATTATTAATACCCTTACTACTAAAACCTACTATAATTAGAACGAATTCAAATAAAGACTCAAAATTATTCCAAACTTCAATCCATAATCTCTTAAACGTGCGTCATGTGAAATTTCATATTTGCCCTTTTTCTTCTTTCCATACTCACCATCACATATTGCGACATATTTAGGAGGGCAGATTAATCTAATGAGCACACAACTAAGTTGGAATGGCTAAAAATGAAGTTCAGTCATTTAACACATACTACAAAATTACATGTTTTAGGTATGGCTACATTTTCTCCATATCTTTACCAACTATGATAACTCATCTCCACATCTAATAGAATAAAGAATGTTATCAACATTTTAATAAACCAATAAAATAAAACATGTTATCAACATTACCAGAGCAGTTTCTTCTTCATCCTCCCAAGAATCCTTCACATCATTTTCATCGACATCTTCGTCATCCCATCCATTCTTCAATTGCTCCTTTTTTAGAGGAGGTAAAATTGGCTCATCCTCTATAACAATCACAAATAATTACCAAAATCATTAGTTTTCTCATTCTTCCACAAGAACAATTAAGGAAGATAATAATAATAATAATAATAATAATAATAAAGGTCACAACATTTTTTCAGAACAATTAAAATCTTGAAGGCAATGTGCCAAAAATCATGTTCCTGCATCAAGGTTCCACAAAAAATCATCAGCATCAGCTAAATTTTTAAACCTTGCTTCTTTGTAAATGTTTAAGCTCCAAGTGTCGTATATGTGTAGGTTTATCTAGTATCAACTAACATCCAATGCAGAGCACATCAAACATTTACATCATTGGCTTATTTTAAAACTAGGATAAACATATTTCAAAGGGCTCAAAACCATTTTTTTGCAAACCCAAAGGTCTGTTCATGCTTTCTACAAAAATAATTAAAATAAAAACTGCGACAGATTTAAATTCATTTTACAAATTACAAAATCACTACCACCTATTCATTTCCCTCCATCTAAATCCTAAGGATCAGGTCTCTTCATTCACCTAGGAATCCACAAATGGAATTGTCAGTTCTTCTATTATATAGTAAGGTAAGTACATAAACTAGCTAAGTTTTTACTTTATGTGACATTTTTAATTTTCTGTGGATATGAGGTGTTGTGCCATTTAATGCAAAATGTACAAAGAGCAATAATGGGAAGTGTAATAACTGATAATGATTTCTTTCATAATCACATTCCTAAACTACAGTCTATTCTTCAGATTTTATGAATTTCGTAATACTCTACTCTTAGAAAATTAAATTACAATAATATTACCCACAGCAATATTTTTTAATTGTCCTAAATAGACATTTTTAAACAAGAGATCACCTAGCCTTAAGACAGTTGAATTTGTGAATCGACACCAATAAAATATAGTGAAAGAAATTCAATGAACAATAATCTATCCACATTGACATGATATGCACTCAGAAAACAATAACCAATTTCACTTGTAACTCACGTATAGGTGAATCTTGTAGAACATTAGATGCATCTGATTTGCATAAGCTAGTTTCAATGCACAAGCAAGCATATATTGAATTAAAATAGTTAACAAAAGAAAAGCCTCAAAAGAATGAAAAAGACTTGACCCTTAGAGGTCTGCTACACTCATTGTTCTTCAATCATCCACTCGATCAATTGCATATCTTCCTTGAAATCACAAGTAAACAGGAATTTTTCATTCCTTGATCCATGTGTTTTGGACTTAATGCTCTACAATTATGAGATTATTGGGCAGTTGTGATCAGGAATTTTCTATACCTAAAGCCCTCGACCCATGTGCTTTGGACCTAATGCTCTACAATTATGAGATTATTGGGCAGTTATGAACAGGAATTTTTCAAACCTCCAGCCTTTCACCCATGTTCTTTACACCTAATGCTCTACAATTATGAGTTTAGTGGGCAGTTGTGAACAGGACTTTTTCATACCTCAAGCCCTCAACCCATGTGCTTTCAACTTAATGCTTTACAATTATAAGATTATTGGGCAAATTAACTCACACATCACCTTCAAATAGTCTCTTAGAAAGTATCATATATCATAAACAAAGTAATAAAAGAAATAATCCTCAAGCAACATAGTTTGATTACAAAATAGCACATATTATGATTAAAACTAAAAACGAAATTATAAACTAAGATGGAAGGATATTATGATATTTGTAAACGAGGCCATAATCAATGAATAACAGGGTTAAGCCAAGCGCTTGGAGTCCTAACCTTTTTGAACATCCATTCAATTTCCTAGTTTTGCACACCATCCTCCCAAATTTATATAAACGCAAATCAATTCAACCATAATTGAATTGGAGTTCAATAAATCAGAACTCTTTTTATTTTTTTTGGATAAATAGTTCTATAAATCAGAACTTGTAATTTCAGATAATAAAATGTGACTATGTTATAGAATTAAAAAGACATACAATACTCCATCAAGCTTGGAAGCTAAAATGTTACAAAAATAAAGCCATGAAATATTACCCCAGTCCTCTATCTAACCGTGCTCCTCAGGAAACAAATTTTGCAATTTGGATCTCCTTCTATCTTCAAGACAAAATGTAAACCTGCTTTTGCAAATATGCAAGCAAAGAAATGATTGGATAATAGACTTCAATGCTAGAGGCAAAATATAACATAACATCAATAGCATAACTTAAACAAAGAAGAAAATAAGTCAGGAATAAAATTGTCTTCGGTTTGGAAGGGAGAGACAGAGACCAAGATTGACAGAAAGGGAGAGAGAGACTGAGATCGACAGAGAGGGAGAGAAACCGACAACGATAGAGACCAAGATCGATAGAGAAAGACCAATATCGATAGAGAGGGAGAGAGACCAAGAGAGAGAGAGAGAGAGAGAGACCTGTGATTTGTAGCAGTGGCAGTGGTGATTTGCGGCGATGGCGATGGCGATGTGCGATGGCGGCAAGCGACGGTGGTAAGCAACAGTGTAGACCAAATTATATTTGAATTGACCAGAACAACCAAGACCATGGTTCATATTTCACCGTATATTTGAATTGATCCATACATAGATACAATATGTAGACCAAATTATAATTGAAAATGAAGAAAACCCACCTGAAGGAAGTTGAAGAGGAGTGCTCTGTTTTGGTATTCTGCTGATATCTTCCTGCTCACACCCGCCACCATATTTCTTCACAATTTAAAAGGAGATGTTTCTTGTGACCTATTTAAGCTTGGAGTGCTAATTGATGCCTTAGTTTGTTTCATTTGACTATAAGTGTTTCTTTCAAAAATCTGTTTTCTCAAAACGATTTGCCGGATTTGGACTCTTTGGTTCAGATTTAGAACCGTGACTACGAAATCGAGTCCGAACTGTAGCGAGGTCCCCCGCGGGCTTGTTACAGATGGTTTCTTCATTAACAACATTTAGTTGCAAATATTGCATAGAATTTATAGAATTTGGCATCATTTCTTTAATTTATTTAAGTTAATCCAATATAAGAATATTATTTGTAGAATATCAATATGTAGTCAAGAGGAACATTAATCATTTCCCTCAGTGGGATTTGTTACACTTTTTCAAGAATATTATTATTTGGCACCCTGTTGCTCTCACGTCATCCTAACAACCCCCAATCATGGATAGACGATAAGGAAACAAATAAAAATACACCCAAATAGTGATCAATAAACATGTTCAGACCACACCCTCCAAACACAAGGGCAAAGCATATTAGCACGATTTACTGATTCAAACTCTAACAGAGAGACCAAAAGAACATAAGCATATAACAATCACAACCATATAGTGGCACTTTCCAATTCAATAACAAATAGAGAGACCAAAGTTGTTTTCCACATTGAAAGAAAAAATGAGAAAAGGGTTCATCAATCCTAAATTTCAAAGAATAGTTGCTCATTGCTCATCAATTCATCCTGAAGTTCAATTTTAAAACAGCTATACTCATGCATCTTGATCTCAATTCATAATTGGACTAGCATAACTGTGCCTTTAAAACAGATTCTAGGCTGCACCTTCATGTAACATGAAGCTCAGTTCCGGTAGGCAGATTGAAGAGTTATCAAGTTCTTAATGCTCAATTGCACCGATGGCTAAGTAATTGAATTCTTAAATAACCGAAAGGCTACAAATCTAAAAACTCACTAGGACCAAATGGTTTGATGTACTAAATTTTTTTTTAAAATTCAATGACTTGTGGACTTTTGATTTATGGTTACATATCTACATTAGTCAGTGGTCTAAAGGGATCATAATCAAATATCTAGTGAGGTGTAGCAGGGAAAATCTCCACCTCTTGTTTCACTACGAAAATTCCCAAATTTGCAACTATATTCACACAACTAGTAGCAACTAGCAAACTTTCAAAAATGATATGCAAAAATTCAATCTTTCCAATATAAAGCAAACTATTCCAACCTATCAAAATCCAATAAAATGGCATAAAGAAACGTATTGCATTTAGAAATCTACAAAGGCAAAACCAACATCTAGGAACTACATTAAAAATTGAAACAATCAGAATTTCAGAACTGCAAAAGATTGTATTCAAGCTACTAACAAATCTAATTCCCGTATTAACATATCAAACAAAAAAATGAGACTATCAATGAATGAAAATGATCACAGAAATGATTAATATAGCTAATCTACCAACATAAAACCCTAATTCGGATAGATTTGGAGCTCAATCTGTGTTAAAACAAAAAAAATTGAGATCCAAAAACCCGAGAACGAAACAAACCCAAATCTGAAACAATCGATCAATCACCACAATTCAGAATTGAAGCAAACCCAGATCTAAAAGAGAGAAGAAGATATCAAACTTGATCGAATTGGAGCTAAAAAGGCACCCAAGTCCAAATCTGTTAATGTTTTCGGGTAAAAAGAGAGGAGCGAAAATTGCGAAGAGCTCCTAAAATCGAATCAAACAGTATTTTTGTTGTTCAAATAATGGCAATGTGAGAGAGAAAAAGGGTTTGAGAGGGCTTGGTGTTTCTCTCTCTAAAATTTCAAAGAGATAAGAGGCGTTTGGGAGGGATTGGAATAACCAATCCAAATCCAACCAAGTATCTCAATGTAAAAGAGAACCTATTTTTAATATAGAGGAATAGAGAAAAGGAGAGAGACCGAGATCGATAGAGATAGAGAGATCGAGATTAACAGGCATCGATAGACCGAGATTAACAGGCATTGATAGACCGAGATCGACAGGCATTGACAGAAAGAGATCGACAGAGAGATCAACAAAGAGATATCGACAGAGAGAAAGAGACCGAGATTGACAGAGAGAGACCAAGATCGACAAAGAGGGAGAGAGACCGAGAGCGACAGAGAGAGAGAGAGAAAAAAATTGTGATTTGCTGCAATGGCGGTGGTGATTTGCGGTAGTAGCGGTGGCGATAGCGTTGGCGGTATGCGACGGTGACAACCGACAGTAGTGAGCAAACCGAGATTAACAGGCATTGATAGACCGAGATCGACAAGCATTGACAGAAAGAGATCGACAGAGATCGACAGAAAGATCAACAAAGAGATATCGACAGAGAGAAAGAGACCGAGATTGACAGAGAGAAACCAAGATCGACAAAGAGGGAGAGAGACCGAGAGCGACAGAGAGAGAGAAAAAAAAATTGTGATTTGCTGCAGTGGCGGTGGTGATTTGCAGTAGTAGCGGTGGCGATAGCGTTGGCGGTATGCGACGGTGACAACCGACAGTAGTGAGCAACGGTGGCCAGTGACGATGGGGTAGTGAACGTTTGTGTTTGTGTGACTGTTCTCTGTGTGTGTGAGAGAGAACAGAAAAGAGAGTGTTTGTATGAAACTGAGAAGAGGGACGCGGGCGATAATAAAAGTTTTTAACCTTTAGCGACTAAACTATTATTTGTCGACAAGTATTAATCAATAAGGACTAACCTTTTGTAGCCAAAAGTATAATTTGGCTACTAATTTTTTTTGTCGTCCGCAAAAATTGAATATACACTAAATTTTTTGAGTCACCAAAAGTTTATATTTGTCGACAAAAGTATTTGGTCAGCAAAGTTCCTTTTGTTGGCAAATAATTGTATACGATGACTAAAATAAGAATTAGGAGCCTAAAATCTACTTACGCCAACTAAAATTTTTTTAGTCGCCTATTTACATCGTATTTAGCAACTAAATTCATTTTTTATTCGCCAATAAATAATATATCGACTAAAATAATATAGTAGCTAAACTTTGAACCAAAGCCAACTAATAAATTTTTTAGTCACCAAAAATATAGCTTACACCTTTTGGTGAAAACTTATGCCATTTTATGAAAAATACTTACATCTTTTGTGAAAATTTACGTCTCTTTGTAAAATCACTTACTCTCTTTGTGAAAATTTGTGCCTTTTTGTGAAAACTTATGCCTCTTTATAAAAATGCTTACACCCTTTGTGAATACTTACGCCTTTTTGTGAAAACTTATGCCTCTTTATAAAAATGCTTACGCCTTTTTGTGAAAAATTCTTACATCTTTTGTAAAAACTTACACTTTTTGTGAAAACTTCTTACACTTTTTGTGAAAAAACTTACACCTTTTCTGAAAACTTACACTTTTTATGAAATACTCTCATTATGAAAATTTACACCTTTTGAGAAAACATTCACCTTTTTGTGAAATTACTTACACCTTTTGTGAAAAAACTTACACCTTTTGTGAAATTACTTACACCTTTTGTAAAAAAATTTACACATTTTTTCTGAAAACTTACACCTTTTGTGAAATACTCTTTTTGTGAAAATTTACACTTTTTGTTAAAACTTACACCTTTTGTGAAAAAACTTACACCTTTTTTGAAAACTTACATCTTTTCTGAAAATTTACAACTATTGTGAAATACTCTTTTTGTGAAAATTTACACCTTTGTGAAAAAACTTACACCATTTCTAAAAACTTACACCTTTTGTGAAATATTCTCGTTATGAAAATTTACACATTTTGTTAAAAATTACATCTTTTGGGAAAAAACTTACGCATTTTCTGAAAACTTACACATTTTGTGAAAATTTACACATTTCGTGAAAACTTACACTTTTTGTGAAAAAACTTACACATTTTCTCAAAACTTACATCTTTTGTGAAATACTCTTTTTGTGAAAATTTACACGTTTTGTGAAAACTTACACCGTTTCTGAAAAAACTTACACCTTTTCTGAAAACTTACACCTTTTGTGAAATACTCTTTTTTGTGAGATTTTACACATTTTGTTAAAAGTTACACCTTTTGTGAAAACTTACACCTTTTTCTGAAAAAACTTATACATTGTCTGAAAACTTAAACCTTTTGTGAAATACTCTTTTTATGAAAATTTATACCTTTTGTGAAAACTTACACCGTTTCTGAAAAAACATACACATTTTCTAAAAACTTACACCTTTTGTAAAACACTTTTTTTGTGAAAATTTACACATTTTGTGAAAAAACTTATATTTTTTCTGAAAACTTACACTTTTGTGAAATACTCTTTTTGTGAAACTTATATTTTTTCTGAAAACTTACACTTTTGTGAAATACTCTTTTTGTGAAAATTTACACATTTTGTTAAAATTTACACCTTTTGTGAAAATTTACACATTTTGTGAAAACTTACAACTTTTCTGAAAACTTACACATTTTGTGAAAAAAAATTATACCTTTTCTGAAAAAACTTACACCTTTTGTAAAACACTCTCTCTGTGAAAATTTACACATTTTGTTAAAACTTACACCTTTCGTAAAAACTTACACCTATTGTGAAAACTTACACCTTTTGTATAAAAATTTACACCCTTTCTGAAAACTTACACCTTTTGTGAAAATAACATTTTTCACAAAAGGCGTAAGTGATTTCACAAAAAAGTATAAGTTTTCACAAAATGTGTAAGTTTTCACAAAAAATTATAAGTTTTAACAAAATGTGTAAGTTTTCACAAAGATGGTATTTCACAAAAAGTGTAAGTTTTTTCCCAAAAGTTGTAAGTGATTTCACAAAAATGCACAAGTTTTTACAAAATGTGTAAATTTGGACAAAAAGAGTATTTCACAAAAGGTGTAAGTTTTCAGAAAAAGTGAAAGATTTTTCAGAAAATGTGTAAGTTTTCACAAAAAGTGTAAATTTTCACAAAAAGAGTATTTCACAAAAGGTGTAAGTTTTCACAAAAGGTATAAGTTTTAACAAAATGTGTAAATTTTCAAAAAGAGAATATTTCACAAAAGGTGTAAGTTTTCGCAAAAGGTGTAAGTTTTTTCAAAAAAAATTTAAGTTTTCACAAAAAATGTAAGTTTTAACAAAATGTGTAAATTTTCACGAAAATAGTATTTCACAAAAGTTGTAAGTTTTCAGAAAATGTGCAAGTTTTTTTTAACAAAAGGTATAAGTTTTAACAAAATGTGTAAATTTTCAAAAGTAGAATATTTCACAAAAGATGTAAATTTTCACAAAGGGTGTAAGTTTTTTTGCAAAAGATGTAAGTTTTTTCACAAAAGCTGTAAGTTTTTACAAAAAGTGTAAATTTTAACAAAATGTGTAAATTTTCACAAAAAGAGTATTTCACAAAAGGTGTAAGTTTTTCGAAAATGTGTAAGTTTTTTCACAAAAAGTGTAAGTTTTAACAAAATGTGTAAATTTTCAAAAAGAGAATATTTCACAAAAGGTATAAGTTTTCACAAATGATGTATAAGTTTTCACAAAGGATGCAAGTTTTTTCAAAAAAAGTGTAAGTTTTTTCACAAAATGTGTAAGTTTTCACGAATGATGTAAGTTTTCACAAAAAAGTGTAAGTTTTAACAAAATGTGTATATTTTCACAAAAAGAGTATTTCACAAAAGGTGTAAGTTTTTTCATAAAAGATATAAGTTTTCACAAAAGGTGTAAGTTTTAATAAAATGTGTAAATTTTCAAAAAGAGAATATTTCACAAAAAATATAAGTTTTCACAAATGGTGTAAGTTTTTTCAGAAAATGTGTAAGTTTTTTCACAAAATGTGTAAATTTTTACAAAAAGAGTTGTGGGGACATAATTTTTTAATGACAACACGTGGCTGATGTGTCACCAAAGTGCCAGTCGAGGTGCCACGTGTCCTAATCATGACGCCAAGATCATCTCGGCTAGGCTGCGAAGAACCGGAATCCAGGATAAGTGGATAAGGGACAAAAGTCCTAGAATGAGAGAGGACTTCAGTTTGGGTAAAGATAAGACTTTTAGAGAGTTTATCCAATCCTACTAGGAGTCCAAGATTAGCAGTAATCCTAAGTCCATTGAAGCTAGGTTTCAATTGGGACTAGGTTTGTGTTGGCTATAAAAGAGAGGCACCCTCATGGGTCTAAGGTATGCTTTTATGCTCTGAATAATGAGTTAAGCACTTTTACTATCTTTGAGAGATAACTGACTTGATCATCAAAGTACCCCCGGGTGGACGAACCACCGCCGGAATCTCTTCTTTTTGTGACAGGTCGTTCGGGCTTAATTTATTCTGTCAGTGTTCTCCAGCTGAGTGCTTGATTGGCAGTGTGATCGGAAATTGACACACACAAAAGTATTTCACAAAAGGTGTAAGTTTTCAAAAAATGTGTAAATTTTTTCCCAAAAGGTGTAAATTTTCACAAAAGATGTAAATTTTCAGAAAATGTGTAAGTTTTTTCACAAAATATGTAAATTTTCACAAAAAGAGTGTTTCATAAAAAGTGTAAATTTTCACAAAAGTGTAAGTTTTTTCACAAAATGTATAAGTAATTTCACAAAAAGTTGTAAGTTTTTGTCACGACCCAAACCCGGCCTTATGGGTTTAGCACCGTAACCGGCCAGTAATCCGAGATTACCGAAAGCCTGCTTAACAGTAGTACAGTAAAACAGAGTACAGGGCCTGGCGGAAGCCAATACAGTAAATGAATAATGTCCATTGAGCTGTGACAGTCTGCATGCCAAAAAGATTTTTCATGCATTCACATACACAAACAGTACAGTCTATACAAAATTTACAGTTACACAGTACAGGGACCTAATAACAGTACGGTAAACATTCAGTCTATACAGAACAGTAGACGGTACAGAAGGGGGAATTGTAAAACACCCCTAAGCCTTAACACGATAGGCTCGGAACCTCGCAGTGAGGCACATAGGCTGGCTTGACAAAACTGGAGTCTAACCCTGACGCTCCTAGCTCCGATCTGGTGCCTGTACACCTACATATATATATAAACAGTGAGCTAAAGCCCAGTGAATAACATAATGCGTAAAGAGGTTATGAATGAAATGTCCTTACAGTAATGAAAACAGTCCATTAAATCAGTATTTCAGTCAGAACAGTTATTCAATCATATGTGGTACATCCATTAGCATAGCAGTAAACAGTAGGTCTTAAAGACCGAACAGTAATGATGGCCATCAGTCAGTAAACAGTAGTGGTTCCACGAGGGAACCGACAGAGATCTCTGTAACAGTAACAGTAACAGTAAACAGTAGGTACTAAGGATGCCACAGTACAGTTCAGAAATAAAGGACATACATTCATTCAGTAAAATCCAGTTCAGTAAACAGTTCAGTTCAGTATTCAAAAGATATCAGTTGAACATATCTTTACACAATTGTTACTCACAGAGTTCTGGGCTACAGTATGCTAGAGCGTGTCTCCCCAGTTGCCAACCCTACACAGTTCACAGGTTGAACACACACTAAGCTACACAGTTCGCCGGAATCTCTTCTTTTTGTGACAGGTCGTTCGGGCTTAATTTATTCTGCCAGTGTTCTCCAGCTGAGTGCTTGATTGGCAGTGTGGTCGGAAAATTTTCACAAAAAGAGTATTTCACAAAAGGTGTAAGTTTTTTCATAAAAGATATAAGTTTTCACAAAAGGTGTAAGTTTTAACAAAATGTGTAAATTTTCAAAAAGAGAATATTTCACAAAAAATATAAGTTTTCACAAATGGTGTAAGTTTTTTCAGAAAATGTGTAAGTTTTTTCACAAAATGTGTAAATTTTTACAAAAAGAGTTGTGGGGACATAATTTTTTAATGACAACACGTGGCTGATGTGTCACCAAAGTGCCAGTCGAGGTGCCACGTGTCCTAATCATGACGCCAAGATCATCTCGGCTAGGCTGCGAAGAACCGGAATCCAGGATAAGTGGATAAGGGACAAAAGTCCTAGAATGAGAGAGGACTTCAGTTTGGGTAAAGATAAGACTTTTAGAGAGTTTATCCAATCCTACTAGGAGTCCAAGATTAGCAGTAATCCTAAGTCCATTGAAGCTAGGTTTCAATTGGGACTAGGTTTGTGTTGGCTATAAAAGAGAGGCACCCTCATGGGTCTAAGGTATGCTTTTTATGCTCTGAATAGTGAGTTAAGCACTTTTGCTATCTTTGAGAGATAACTGACTTGATCGTCAAAGTACCCAGGGTGGACGAACCACCGCCGGAATCTCTTCTTTTTGTGACAGGTCGTTCGGGCTTAATTTATTCTGCCAGTGTTCTCCAGCTGAGTGCTTGATTGGCAGTGTGGTCGGAAATTGACACACACAAAAGTATTTCACAAAAGGTGTAAGTTTTCAAAAAATGTGTAAGTTTTTTCCTAAAATGTGTAAATTTTCACAAAAGATGTAAGTTTTCAAAAAATGTGTAAGTTTTTTCACAAAATATGTAAATTTTCACAAAGAGAGTGTTTCATAAAATGTGTAAGTTTTCACAAAAGTGTAAGTTTTTTCACAAAATGTATAAGTAATTTCACAAAAAGTTGTAAGTTTTATTTACGCCTTTTATGTAAATTTACGTTTTTTGTGAAAACTTACGCCTTTTTGTGAAAATGTGTTATTTTATTGTAAAAAATTATTATTTTATTCATTTTACTTGTAAGGTGACCCATTTAGCAGGTCGCCAATGGGTAAGTTTGAACAAAATTTGGTATAACTAATAACACAAATGGGTATAAGGTAAAACATAAAAGGTGTAAGTGCCTTCCATGTGGTATGCAAGGCACGCCTAGATCTTATTTACAACATGACTTTAAAATATTACAAACAACTTAAGAAATAAAAATATTACAAACAACTTAAGAATTGTTTAAATAATTGTTTATAATTAATTTTACTATTATACCAGAACAAATTTGCAAAACTAAAAAATTATAACTTAAGGTTCGTTTCAGCAGAATTTTTTTAATCTGATTTTTTGACTAATTTAACCTAGCTAAATTAGCTTTATTTAGGAAGAATTTTTTAACTTTTTTATTTAAAAAAAATAAAATAATTATGATTTAAAATGTGACATTTTATTTTATTGACTTATTTAACTTCTTTTTTTTTTTGTACTTTTTTAGTCCCAACTAAAAGCCGACCCATTTACTAATTTTTTGACATTTTACGAAAAGATGTGTAATAAAATATTATAGTAAAATCAAAATAACCATTTTATCCTTGTTGACTTTTTGACTTTTCGGCAGTTGAATTTAAATAGCAAGATAATAATTTAACTCTTTAACTTCCCCCACAAGCTTTCACAAATAATATGAATTTTTTTATTTTTTTAATAATTTTTTGACTTTTTAATTTTTGTAGGTTATTCCAAATGAAACTGTATATATTTTTACACGATTCAATTTGGTTTCAAATTATACAATTTTGTTTGAGAAGAATTTTTTTAGTTTAACCGTTTAGTTGTTTTAGTTAAAAATTTTCGATTAAAAAACTTTTGACCTTTTTATAATTTTATAATAAAAAAATTAAGATAATTATAAATTTTCAATCTGTTTTATTTTTTAATCGATTAAATTAATTCAAAAGATATGACGATTTGTAACTTTTATCCATTTTCATGGTCAGCACTGCCAACAACAGATCCACTGTATGCCTCTTCTCTAGGAAGCTCTCTCTCTGTCTCTCTCTCTCTCTCTCTATTAAAGTAGAGTAGCAGTGTGAGTGAGCGAGTAGTGGTTTCTACTTTTTCTCTTTTTTCTAGAAAGGTTGCGTGTGAAGTTTTGTACTGTAATTATTATGCATGTGCTGGTGGTGGCTGCAGAGTGATTCCATTCGGATAGGAGAGAGAACGGACTACGATGGCGAAGTGCCACCGGAACGATGCTGGATCGGTGGACCTGGACGCCGCCGGGAACTACCGCCTGTGGACAGCTTTTTCCGGCGCTTCATTCCGGAAGATGATCATCGACTCCATGCGGTGCGGTGCGGCGAGCCTGAAGAGATCGGAATGCGGATCCGAATCGAAGAAGAAGAAGAAGAAGGGGGGATCGGAGAAATTGTTGGAGTTGATGAGGAGGTCGGAGAAGGTGGAGGCGTTGGAGGAGTTGAAGATGGCGGTGAAGAGATTGCAATGCGATGATGTTTTGTGGGGAGCGATTGATGTCAGGAGGCTGACGAAGGAGAATTCGGAGGCCAGAATTGATCTCGCATTGCTCGGAGCAATTTCGCCTCTCGTGGTTTTGCTTGATTCGGAGGATGTTGATGCTCAGATTGCTTCTCTCTATGCTCTTCTCAATCTCGGAATCGGCAATGACAAGTGAGTTTTTGTCATTTGCATGTCGTTTTCTAGTTCAATTCTGTTTGGATGCTAAGAAAGTGAAGGAAAATGAAAAAATAAAAATAAATAAATCAATCCATTCTACGGTTCCGAGTGGCATTGCTGCTGATCATGAAGAAGAAAATATTTTAATTTTAATAAATTGATATTGATTTTTATTTATTTTGCTGCAATTAAACAAAATTTTGGTGGTGTTTGGGAAGTAAGTTCTCAAATTTTTTTCTCATTTTTTTCGCTAAAAGATAAAAGTTTTGCAAAATTAAAAAAAACACATTCAAACAAAATATCACATTCAACCCCATAATCATTTCATTTTTTCTCTCATAAACATCACATCCAACCACATAAAAACCCAACTATCTTCCCAAACACCAAAAATTTTTTATCTCATAAAAACCTACCTCTAATAAAATCTACATAAAAACTCACTTCCCAAACACCATCTTTGTATTTCAGCTAATTATGATTTATTTCCATTTTTAATTCATATTTTTGGGATAGAACGTTTTTAACGTAGAAATTTATTATTTATCCAAATATTTTTTATTATTTATCCAAATATATATATATATATTAATTATTGATTTATATTATTGTGAAAATTATTAAATAGAATTCGAACAGTTGATGGCAAGTCATTTTCTGCATATTTGTTGTGAAAGTTTATTTTTTGTTGGGCTATTGACTTTTCATTTCCTTATAATTAAATTATGCTTGTTGGCATCATTTCTAGTTTCTATCAATATAATGCCCAATAATCAATGAATTCTCAAACCTTTTGCAGAAACAAAGCTGATATTGTTAAAGCAGGTGCTATTCACAAGATGCTAAATCTAATTGAATCACCAAATGGGTCTCCCAACCCAGCTGTTGCAGAAGCAATAGTTGCAAATTTTCTAGGCTTAAGTGCGCTAGATTTGAATAAACCGGTTATTGGTTCTTCAGGTGCAATCCCATTTTTGGTGAAAATCTTAAAAGATTCGGATAAAACAAGTAGTACTCAAGCCAAGCAAGACTCTCTACGAGCGCTTTACAACCTTTCAATCTCACCTTTGAATATATCGTTGATTTTAGAAACTGATTTGGTACCATCTCTCTTGAGTTCACTAGAGGACATGGACTCAAGTGAGAGAATCCTCTCGATTGTATGCAATGTTGTTTCGACACCAGAAGGTCGAAAGGCAGTCAGCATTGTGCCAGATGTGATTACAATTCTAGTTGATGTGTTGAATTGGACTGACTCATTGGGGTGTCAAGAGAAGGCAACGTACATTTTGATGGTTATGGCACACAAATCATATGGAGATAGACAAGCCATGATTGAGGCTGGAATTGTTTCATCGCTGCTTGAGTTGACGCTTTTGGGTAGTACATTAGCACAAAAAAGGGCTTCAAGGATTTTGGAGTGTTTGACAGTAGATAAGGGAAAGCAAGTGTCGGAAAACTTTGGAAGTGGCATAGGTCCTTCTGTGTCCACTCCTATGTGTGGATCTTCTTCGTCTTCTGCAGACCCGAATTTCCAATTGAAGGAGTGTTCAGATGAGGGAGAAATGATGATGGGAGAAGAGAGAAAAGCTGTGAAGCAATTAGTCCAACAGAGCTTGCAGAACAACATGAGGAGGATTGTGAAAAGGGCCAATTTGCCTCAAGAATTTGTTCCATCCAATCATTTGAAGGCGCTCACTTCTATTTCAACTTCTAAGAGCTTACCATTTTGAGAAAAGATTGCTCAAATTCAAAAGTTCGTCTTCTCTTCACCACCCTAAGCCTCGTGTTCATTATGGCTTGTTGTAGTGTTATAGAACCAGTACATTTGTTTGTGAAAATTTCTTTATCATTCAAATGGTTTGAAAATTTTAGGCCTTGTTAGGTAGCTTTCAAAATTTTCGTTTTTGTTTTTTGTCTTTGTTTTCATAAGCACCCTAAAATAGTGGTGTTCTCAAAAATTCTCTCCCAAAAACATTTTTGAAACAAGTTTTTCACATGGACTTTCATTTTTTTTCATGAACAGAAAAAAAAAAAAAAAAAAAAAAAAGGTGTTATAGAACCAGTACATTTGTTTGTGAAAATTTCTTTATCATTCAAATGGTTTGAAAATTTTAGGCCTTGTTAGGTAGTTTTCAAAATTTTCGTTTTTGTTTTTTGTCTTTGTTTTCATAAGCACCCTAAAATAGTGGTGTTCTCAAAATTCTTTCCCAAAAACATTTTTGAAACAAGTTTTTCACATGGACTTTCATTTTTTTTCATGAACAGAAAAAAAATGTTGATGCTCAGATTGCTTCTCTCTATGTAGCCTATTTTGTCTTTTGTGGCTAAAATAGCCAAAAAAGCCCAAGAACCAACTTGCCAAACAGAGGCTTAGATGTTGAGTGGTTCAGATGTTTCTTCTGTTAAACATGGATATAATACTCTCTATGAAAAAGCCCACTAGCATCCAGACCCTGTTAACCTGTTCTGAGGATTGTTCCAATTTCATTGGTGTCATAAGCGATTTTTAGATTATCTGAGGGCTGCTTTCGTCCTAGAATTGGTGTAAGGTGTTCCCTTTAATTGTGGGGGGTTCACTTTTAACCGGTTAGTACATTTTTGTCCATTCATTATAACTTTATACTCTTGTGCACAACAACAGGGTAGGGACCCTACACCATTCATTGCAATTACTTCCGCTTTTGTTGAATAGTTGAGCAAGAGTGTTTATCAACCTCTGTTTATCTTAATATTTTGTTGGTTTTGGCCTGTTTGCTGAACAATTTCTAATTGCCTAATCACAGACTAGGGAGAAGATGCAGGGAGAGATTTAGCAAACACGGTTCGGATAAGGAAGAATCTCTAATAAAAATTCATCAGCCATTGTCATCCGACAAGGTGTATGTATATATTCATTATATATTAAAAGATATGATATGATATAATGTTCATGGTGAGGAGTTGTTTTGGCCTAGTGAATTTTTAGTTCTGTGTCCTGTGGTTTAAATTGTTCTGTAACTAAAGTTTTCTGTTTTGTGGTAAATATTAATATTCAGTGTGTTTGATTTGAGTTTTGTAGATTAAGTTTTTTAAAAATTGAGTTTTTTAGTTTTCGTATTCTTTTGTTTTTAATATTTTTTAAATTTTAAACATTTTTTAAACTTTTTTAGATGCACCTTAGTTAGATATATCTAAAAAGTAAAAATTTTGTGAAAAAATATTTTAAAAAATTAATAAATACATAAAAATACAAAAAAAATGTACTGAATTTTTGTATTTTTTTTTATATTTTTGGTATTTAGTGAATTTTTAAAAGATTTTTTTTATATAATTTTTTTACTCTTTAGGTGTATTTATGTTAGATGTATCTAAAAATTAAAAAAATTGTTTAAAGTATTAAAAAAATTCAGTAAAAACAAAAAAACACGGAAAATAAGAATGTAGAATTTTTTGAAAAGTATTTTCTGAAAAATGAAAACAAGCAAGCAAAATCAGCTTTTAACTCACTTTCTCTCTCACAAGTGGGTTAAAAGTAATTTCTCAGCTTTTAACTCACTTCCTCTCTCAAAAAAAAAAAAAAAAATTCAAAAAATTAACTTTTAACTATCTTACCAAAATACCCCTAAACATTGTTAATTTACGTACTTTTTCATACTTAAAACCTCTCTTTTGTTTTGATATATGATGGATAAATAACGCGGAAGTACATTATTTAGATTTTGGAGTTGAATTATTTCTGCAAGGATCCAAGAAAAGCCAGCTGGGGTTTTAAGAGATCAATTGTACAAGTTACCAGATGCATATCAAGGATGTGGTTCATGTACTGGGTCTTGATAGGATAGTGCAGAATTATAATCGATGCCTTATTTTATTTTTTCAATACACCTAACTTCTCTTGCATTGCATATTGTCTTAATTACACCAAGAACTTCTATTAGTGAATTCGAACTTATTGTCTTGTCTATAAATTTGTACATTTTGATCCCTTAACTATGAAAATATCACTTTTATCCTCTCCAAATCTCTTTCTAAAGGAGTATTTGTATGGTTTTTATAGTTAAGGCTCTCCAAATCTCTTTCTAAAGGAGTATTTGTATGGTTTTTATAGTTAAGGGGTCAATATGTACCGAATAAGGTGATATTTAGGTTTATTTGTAGTCTCTTAAGGTGTCATTTAGGATTCATGTCATGAACTTCTCTTTAAAAAATTATTAGATAATTTCAAAGTATTATGTAATGTTACTCCTCGCAAATGAATTGAAAAATCATGAATCAGTTAAATCTCTTATTTCTGAACTACTTTACAAAATCCAGTTAATGTTGTTTTACTTGTAAAAGATTTCATTACGTTATTAATTGGGAACAAGTGAAGAATACCCCGTGATACTCTGGTGTAGTTTCTGGTTTTAGGAAGAAGTGTGGGTCTTAGAAGTATTCACCTTATTTGGTTTCAATTTTTTGAAAATTTAATTTTTGTTTGTTTAGTTTTATTTTATTTTTTTTAGTGAATTTTCTTAATAATTTAAGCAAATTTGTTTACTTTTTAGGCACACTTATAATTAAAAAGAACAACACTGTTACATCTACCGAATTTGTTCCGTCTGAATTCGTCTAAATAAGTTTCTTCCTGGTAAGAGTCTCCAAAACGGGAGATTGTTACTGGGAAGAAATTCATTCGGGTAGAACAAATTCGATGGATGAATTATTAATCTAAAAAGTATAATATGTATAAAAAGAATCTTTAAAAAAATCATTAAATACCAAAAATACAAAAATCCAATACATTTTTGTATTCTTATGTATTTATTGATTTTTTAAAAATATTTTTTTATAAATATTTTACTTTTTAAGTGTATGTAAGCTATGTGCATCTAAAAAGTTAAAAAAAAGTACTGAAAATATTTAAAAAATTAACTAAAAACTAAAAAAATATTATAAATAAATAATTAATTAATTTTTAAAAAATTGAAACCAAATAAGATTATTATAATCCCAATTATTACAGATGGTGGATTTATTTGCTCTTTCAGAAAGCTGGTTAAAGGCCAATTTTAAACTTTTAACCCATTTTAAGTTATATCACCTTTCACATAACTTACTCACAAAAAGACAAAATACACTTAAAAAAATAAAAAAAATTAAGTTTTAACCAACTTCTCAAAACAATTAGTATATTTGCTTGACAAGGACAAAATGTTGAAGCACATGAATCTCTTTTTCTCACTTTGATTGTTCTTAATTTTCTTCATTGGAAATCTCTTTCTTTCCAATTCACAATTCAATTGAGCTTGCTATTACTATTAGCAACCACCAAGTCCAGGCTTGTGTAGACAAAAGTCTTTGAACATAGTAGTGGTGTTTTAATGATCTTTTATTTTTTATTTTTTATCTTGTGTGTGTGGTCCATCTAATAGACAAATTGCTAACTGATTTTGAACTTTTGTGGTCCATTACTTTATAGAGATTGTTGCTGGCATTGAATGAAAGTTACTCATTGAGAGGAAACCATAGAATTGAAAAGGAAGGGGCAAACCTAGAGGGTTGTTTCTTTAATTGTATATAGACCATTACACAACTTTGGCCATCTAGTACAGTCCCCCTCTTGACATGGGCATGAGCTTGTGTAGGGCCATATATATATATATTTTGATTAGTCTTGTGTGTAGGGCCGGCCATATATACAAGGAAAATATTTGCCATCCCCCACAAAGAATCCCTACTATCTTTACTGATATATTGGCTATTGATGTGTTTGAATATTTTTAGAAAGTTGTATTTGACGGTAATATGAATAGTTTAGATCATTTTAAAAATTGTAAAATTGTGTTTTTGAGGCATCTCTATTATTACTGATATACACAACGTCCTTTGATCAAAAAAAAAAGAAAACCATATGAGTTTCATGGGATCCGTGCAATCAATCAATCTGAACCTTTAGCTTTAAATTTGGGTCAATTCTGATTCTTTTTATCTGGGTTCATAGAACTGTTGTTTTGAGAATAAGTGAAATTAGTAAAAAAGTGTTTAGGGGAAATTATGTAAATAATAATATGGGTTTCACTACTGTAATAAATTTTGGATTTAATTTTTTTTTTTAATTGTTTATTTCAGTATGAGGTTGGTAAATTAATTGGATTATTCTTTCTTTGTTAGGTCCAATTTAAAGAAATTAATGAAAGCGCTGGTTTTGCATGATGGATGGGAGTGGATTGGGACTAAAATAGTCACATTAGTCTTAGGCTAAAAATATCATATATAAATCATAATTATTTTTTTTTTCACAAAAATTTAAAAAATCAAAAAGTCCATCCTAAACAAAAAAAAATTTAGCCCTAGACTAAAATATCAAAAAAGTTAAAAAGTAAAAAAACTAACACACATCCTAAACAAAACCAAAATTTGGGATTGAATACCAATTTAGAAGTATACAATTCAAATTGAATAAATTAAAAATCATTATTTAATTTATTACAAGGATAAAAACCCAAATACTTTTTTTGTAATTTTTTTTTTAAAGTATTTTTAAAATTGATAAAAAGTTCTTTTCTTTGTACTCAAAGATATTTGTTACAGATACTTCGGTAGCATTTGATAGAGTTTTTTAAATATAATTTGATAATAGAATTATATTTTGAGTTTGTGAGTTTTGGAATTATGATTTGAGTGTGAAAAATTTGTTTAGTTATAAGTTTTGGAAATAGTTTTGAATTGAGTATGAAATTAATAATATGACATATGATATTTAATTAAAAAGCTTACAATTCATAATCAAATACACAACTCAAAATTCTATTCAAAACTCATAAAAAAAAATTAAAAATTTCTGAAAATATTTTTTATTTATAATATAAAAATAACATAAGCAAAAAAAAAAAAAAAAAAACGAACACTGTTCCGGCCAAACGTTCAGGAGATGTCTGGATTAGCCAAATTTTTCCACCTAAGAAGGAATTTTTAAAAATATATATGAAATTAATTTTTAAAAACCGTAACCAAATACTGTGCAAACCAAGTAGTGGAACCACGATTCTAGTGGTAGATTTGATTTGGTGGGTTTTCATGGACAATTTAACATCGGATGTGTTTGCTAATTTATAAACGTTGGGGTTGGGCTAAGTTTGGGCCCCCCTTATGGGCATAAAAAATCACTAGCCCACAATACTTCGAGCAAAACTACAAATATGTTAGATAGATTAATATAATTTTGACCAACAAAACCAAGCCTCACATAATTGGATAAATTGTGACAAATTAAAAGTTGACATTTTTTTTTTTGTTAAAAAAATAAAAAAGTTAAAATATTCAATCATATCACTTTCTTTATTTTTTGTACATTTTGTCATAAAATATTAAAAAATTAACTAAAATAATTCATTCTCAAATGTGCTCATAATATTATTATGGATACAATTGTATCGCCACATTACCAATGTCATTGCCACCTCGCTACCACTATCACCACCAACACCCACCTCATCTCATCACCTCACCTCACCTCACCTCTTCTAAAACAACTACTAATTCATTAGTTAAGATCACAATTAAATATAATAAATATTTTATTATAAATAATATTTTCCAGAAAAAACCTATATGTAATGCGTTTCATTGAAACAATCGAGACGTCAAGTAAAAGTTAATAATAATAAAAAATGTATTTGACGCAATGGTTTGAGTGCTTTTAGAAATATAAAAATTAAAGTTGCCAAATTGTCACCTAAATCCTTTAAAAATAAAAATAAAACACTACGTCTCCAAATTTAACAAATGGTTAGATATGCTCTTATTAATTTGTACCCATAATAGAAAGAAAATTGAATTTGGATGAAATGAAGTTTAAAGATGTGCTAAAATGGGAGAGAAATTGAAAAAAAATTGGTAGCATACCAACAAATTTATCAAATCACCCACATAGATATGAGATCTACATCCAGTGAGTGTTTTATAAATTTTTTATAAAAAATTTGCACTACAACAAGAACACATTTTAATGACACCATACTAGTGGCATGTTCTTAAAAAATGTCATAAAAAGAATATTTGGTGTCATTTTTTAGAAAAATATCATAA